AAATGTCAACTGTAGTCTCAACCTACTTTAAAAGAGGTTTCGTAAAATATGAAATTAAAGTCTGCTTGGGTGGTTGCCATAAACTTGCACAGCTCCACGAGCACCCATCTTCAGTTTAATAATTCAAATGTCAACTATAGTCTCAACCTACTTTAAAAGAGGTTTCGTAAAATATGAAATTAAAGTCTGCTTGGGTGGTTTTCAGTACACAGAATAAACGTGGGCAGAGAAGATTTTCCCAGGAAAGCACATGCCTCAAAAGTCTGAGGAAAGAGCTATTTCCATCTTGCAGCTCAGCTGTGGTTTGGAGAGCAGCAGGGCTGATGAGAAGAAGCTAGTGGAAGTCTTGACATACAAAGAGTTGGAGACCACAAAGGAAATCTGAGAGTGTGCCAGGATTCCTGAGGTGTGCCAGCAGGGAAGCACTTTCTAACTTAAAGATGATTCACGCACCTTCCCTCAGAGGGCAAGTTTAGTTCCTAATGATTAGAAATAAGAGTGGAAAGGGATGGGGCATGGAACTGAGGCTGGCTTCCTGGGCATCTTTTCCTGGCCTCCCTGCCTGCAGCCTCGGCCTCCACACCACCGTCCACCCGTGCCTGGGGTGGTCCTTTCTGAGCACTGTGAGGAGAAGTCTATTAGGGGCTTATTTGCTACCATCAAGCTCCCCTCAGCCCTCCCGACCTCACCTCTCATCATTCTGGCCCCACAGAAATGTCCAGGCCACAGACTGTCCCGTTTCCTGAATGAGCCATGCATCTTCAGGTGTCTGGGCCTTTTTGGAGCTGTGTCCCTTGCTTGGAATGCTTACCCCCTTGCCTGGCTGGTGAATGCCTCCAGAATCCTCTGGGCCTACTTCTGCCACTTGGCAATCAGGAGTAACCCTGGCAGTTTACTTGATGTTTCTGCAGCTTCATTTTCTTAGCTGCAGGATGGGGATGGTCCTATTTGGCCTGATGATCTGAAAGGGCTGTGTAGGGTCAAGGAAGACAGTGGCCGGCAAAGCTAACTCCAGAAGGTAAGGTTCAGAAAGAATAATAGAGGTAATGAGAGTAATAACTAACGTGATCTGAGCGCCTGGTCCATATCAAGCACTGTGCTGGATATTCCACCTACATTATCTCATCGAACCTTCATAGCAGCCCTTGAACAGTCTCAAGGCACAGGTGTAGCTGGATGAGTGGGGCATGGGGTGGTGACTTGCATAGGCTCTGAATCACACAGACCTGGGTTCCAATCCTGGCCCAGCCACTTATCTGCTCTGGGACTCTGGGCATGATCTTTAACTGCTCCCAGCTTCAGGGTCCTTATCTATGAATTGGGAGTGTGAGAACACCTACTTTGCGGGGTGGTCTTACAGGCAATATAGGGTAAGCACTCAGCATTGAGCTTGGCTAAGTGTTAGCAGTTATGATTAATGATATGCTCACTTTCCAGACCGGAAAACAGGCTTGGAGAGGTTAAGTAACTGATTCAGGGTCACACAGGTACTGAGTGCTATAGCTGGGTCTGTTGGACTTCAGAGCCAAAGCTCTTAACCATCACTTCCTGGACTGGGTATCAGGACATCTGGATTCTAAGTTCACTAACTTATGGGGTGACTTGGAACAAGTCCCTTCCCATTTCTTGGCTTCAGAGTAAAGTGAGAGGACTAGATTAGGTGTTCTCTAAGGTGTGAATCCATATAGGTGAAACCCACATAATCTACCCTTGCAAATATTCATCTAGTTTCATTTTTTAAAAGAATAAAAGGCACCAGCTAATCAGGAGGTCTCTGGATCACTGCAGCTTGTATGGCTGAGGGCAGCTGCAGAAGAGGCCAGCTCAGAAAGCTGCAGGTACTAAGGGAACACTGGTGTTGGCTATGGGACTGATTTTGAGGTCACTTCCTCCCTCCTGCTTCCACAAAAACAAGAAAGTAGAAGGTAGAGGTATCAGTCCTATCCTAATACTCTTATCAATTGATGTCGACCTATCTACCCACCCACATGTTCATCCATCCACTCATCCATCTACCCTTCCATCCCATCCATCCATCCCCACATATATCCATCCCTCCCTCCCTTTCCCTACCTATTCCTCATCTCACTGATTATTCACCACTCAATTCGCTTACCCCAACCATCCACCCAGTACTTCCCAAAAGCCTGTGCCAGGGTGACTAGAGAAGACTCAGCTGTGTCTCTTACTCTCAGAGAGCCCACAGTCTGCATCAGACAGCAAGAAGACCCAGCAGAACTGGTTGCCCTCATGGAGGAGAAAACATAGCATGCAGGAGCCCAGCCCTGCCCAGGGTCTTATTTTTCCAGGCCAGGCTCATTTGCCAGCCAAAGCTGATGTGCTGTGAGGCTGATGGATGTTGCCCTGTCTCTCTTGCATGGTTTCAGAATGTCCTGCAGTCTAGATTTCCCAGCCTGGTTTGGAGGGGGCTAGACTTATACCCTGGACCAAGCAGCCTCAGCTTTTTCTCAGTCTGCATCTAGGCCTAGAATGGGCAGCCCCCGAGAGCCCCTCTGTCCCCCACATGGCTGGCAGGCCCAGGCTGTGATGAATGTAACCCTCTGGGCCCCGGGCCTTCCTTCCCAAGACCACCATAGGCTGATGGTGCTGCAGGACTGCTTCTGGTGACCAGGAACCTGGTCTGGACACCCTGACTCAGCAGCTGGCTTTAGGGTATCCAGAAGTTGGCTGTATGGCTTTGGGCAAGACCCTTTCTCTCTCTTGCTGTGATGTCTCTGCTGCCTGTTTATTTGTAAGCCTTTGCACTGCTGCAGAAGGGATCCTCTCTCGATGAGTGATTTTATTGCTGAATAACAACACTGGTCACACTGAGTGCCGACTGTGTGCCAGGCACTGTGCCATGCACTTTCCACTTACGAACTCATTTCATCCTCACGATAATCCTGTTTCCCCCAGGAATTGAGGCACAGAGAGATTAAGTAACTTGTTCCATTCACACAGCTAGTGAGGGGTCTGAACTCAGGACACCTGGCTCTGAAGTATGAGTTTTAACCACCACCCAATCATAGCAGGGGCTCTGCTGTCCCTCTCACACTGATAGCCATCAGCCCCCCGAAAGGAGTACCTGTGGCCAGGATACTTTCAGGACAGACCCAGAAAGACAGGCACAGGGGTCCTATGGTGCTGGATTCAAGGCACAGACGGGGACACTGGTGCCTGAGAGGTAAGTGTCCTGGCCTGGATTACAAACCAGGAACCCAGTTCCCAGGTCCCTGACCTCTCTCCAGCCTTACCAGCTGCATCTTCTCCCCAAGTGGACAGACTGACCGCTGTCCTTTATGCCATCTGGACACAGCCTCAGTCCACCAACATCTGGAAATGAGATTTCAGCTTTGTCTCCAATGCTATGATGCACTACCAGATCAAGACTTATCATCACGGGGATGTTTCTGCAGCCCTCTTGGCACATCCCAAGAACTCCTTTTCACTGGAACTGAGTAACACACATCTCAGTCTAAGCCCACCATGCAGGCCTGTGCCCATGGGTCACCCCATGGCCTGAAGCCTGCTCTGGGAATCGCCCTGTTCCCCTCTGGCACGTCTGCACAATGACATCATTAACAGCATCTCAGTTATTTTAGGAAGGCTCAGGGAAGAGAATAAAGCATTGTCAATCTCCCTTGATCCCCAAATCAGGGGAAAGAAGACAAAAACATTGTCATTTCTAGCCTCACCCTCAGGGCTCTCTGCCACCCGTCGGCACGTGTTCTTCGACCTACTTTCCCCCTTTGTCAATTCCGCCTCCCTTAGCCTACAGCTGCAGGGGGATGTGGGTGGCATCTCAGCCACAGCACAGTGGACGGTGCAGAACCCGCTGCCTCCTCCCCCACCAGCCTCTGGCCTCACTGCTGACTCATGCTCTCTGCCCTGTTTCCATAAAGCTGCTGGTGGCTCCCACAAGCCCAACCCGATCATGAAGGTTGGAGCTGGCTCAGGGGCAGAAGGGGGAGGTCAGGCTTGGGCACATTTGGAGGGTAAACAAAAAAGCCCAGCCGATCACCCAGATGCTCACAAGGCAGAAATGCCCTACATCTGAGTATTGACGGACATCTGGATGGACGAACTCTGGGTTTCTCTTCATCCAAATGCTGGTTAATTGCAAAGAGGCAACCTGTGCTTCAAAACCAAATAGGTATTACAGCATGATGAGTTTAGTCAGCTTAAGCTGAGGCAGTAACGTGAGGGTTTTCTTATCAAAACGGTAATATTAATACTATTACTAACAATTATTCCCCTCTCTGAATCCAGGCCCTTTGCAATACCTCCCACCAAGAGAACATGTCCTTTATCCCACCTCGTGAATCTGGGCTGGCCTGACTTGCACTGGCCAATGGAATGTGGCAAAGTTCAGAGCCCAGGCCTCAAAAGGCCTCACACACTTCTGTTGTCTCTCAGAACCCTGTTGTTGCCACATGAACGAGCCCAGACTAGCCTACTGGAGGAGGTGAGGCCACGCAGAGCAGAGGTGAGACAGCCCAGCTGAGGCTGTGCTAGATAGATCAGCCTGCAGTCCTGCCAAGGCGAGCAGAGCTGTCCACCTGAACCACTGCAGATGCGTGAGGGGGCTCAGCTGAGAGCAGAAGAACCACCCAGCGGAGCCCAGCCTGAACGCTGACCCACAGGATTTCCAGCTAAATACACAGTTTTGTTTTGAGTCACTATATTTGTGAGTGGTTTGTTATGTAGCAAAAGCTAACTAATAAAAAGATTTGGTGTTGTTTGTGTGTGGGGGGGTATAAATGACAGGATTTGAAAAACACAGTTAACAACAATCTTTTTTTTTGTCACACGAACATTCTATACTAAGAATAATAAGTCAAAGAGAAATGATTTGATTACTCTCTGACCACGCCAAAATACATCAGCAGGATTTGAAAGTACAAATCACATTGCTCAATCTGCCCAGTACGTCCCAGTACATCTGCATCATCCCACAGATGTTTCTCCCTCTAGTGGAGGAGGGGCTGGCACCCACTTACCAGAATCTTGGTGGTGTAGGCGCTGTTGATGGCGATGGCGTTGACCAGCAGCTCCATGGTCTTGGTGTTAACATTGCTGGGGTCGGGGATCTCTTTGTAGTGGACATCGCCGATGTAGGCCTGCACTACTGTCATGCGGTTGGTGGTCAGCGTGCCTGTCTTGTCCGAGCAGATGGCTGTGGCGTTGCCCATGGTCTCACAGGCATCCAGGTGGCGTACCAGGTTGTTGTCCTTCATCATTTTCTGGGAGGGGGCAGGTGAGAGGGTGACAGTGCGGAGAGGGAGCTGGGGAGCAAGGGGTGCCTGCAGGTGCTGGGTGAACACACAGTAAACGAGGCAGGGCCGCCAGTCTGCACTTGTGCTTACTGCACTCGCAGAGGCCGCAACAGCCTCTGACACCTGGGCTGCTTGTGTGTGCGTGGCCCTTTCCCTTCTCTTTCATTATTTGAACCATTTAGATTAGTTGAATTTATTAATTTGGATTACAGAAGTAATCTACATTCTTTACAGAAAAAATAGGGGGAAGATTAAATTAAATTAAAAAATTAAATAAAATTAAGTTTGGGTCCTCTCTAATAACATAAATTAAATTAACATAAAGAAAATTAAATCAACACAAATTAAATAAATTAAGGTTGGGTCCTTCCTGATTACATAAACAACTGTTCCTTATGTAGTTATGGATTTTTCTCAAATGTATCATCTTTTACTGTGCCCGGTTTTCATTGTCACTTAAATTTCACCAAAAGTAAATACATTTAGAATATATATATGTTTATACGTATAGAAAATTATCTGGAAAAATATCAAGATATTAATAGAATTACAGATTTTTATTGTCTTTAAAAAAATCTATAGATTCCTTTCTCTAAAACAAACACATATTGTAACCTGCATAATAAAAACTACAAATTTCTTCTAAATGTAGGTACACAGAGGGAAATTAAAAAAAACAGCCATAAGCTACCACCCAGAACTGATACTGAGCTGATCTTATATATTGACATCCTGTCTTTTTAAATTCATAGCACAATGGAATAGTACTAGACATATTATTGTTTATTTTCTTCTATACGCCTCTCTTCTCTCTGGCCTAGCTCCATACTCCTAGCTCCTCCCAGATTCCCAAGCAAGTAATGTGATAAAGTAATTCTCAAGGAACCACCATTCCTCGTGTAGCCCCCTGGATGCAGTGGTCCTATCTGGCAAGTTAGAGAAATTGCTAGAGGCTAAAGGAGAAGTTTTAGTCTGTGCCTAAGGATCTGATTTCTTTTAGTCTTGCTCCTCGTTATAATGCTCTATAACAAGGGTAAAAGAGGAGTGCAATGAGAATAATTTAAATAGAGGTTTATGTTACTAAAAAATGAGTATTGGTAGGATCATATGCTACTGCGGTTCCTCTCACTATAACTTGTGAGAATAGTAACAATAAGTGTGCATCGAATGGATGCTTAACAGCAATCTGAATTTGCAACGCACTTTACAGTTTGCAAAGCTTTTCTGCATTAATTTTCTTGTCAGATGGTAGAAGAATCCTGAGAGAACTGAGAGGATTCTGGCAATCGAAGAAATCTAGGCAAAGTGATTTGACCAGGATCACACACCTGGTGAGGTTCAAAGCTGGGTTTTGAGCCCAGCTGTTTAACCTCACAGCCGGGACCCTTCCATCAGGCCTCGGCCCATCTGTACTCTCTGAAGAGGGTTTGTCTGTTGGGCCTAAGAATCTCTGAGTCTGCACTGTCCAGCACCAGAGCCACATGTGGCTACCGAGCACCTGAAATGTGGCTAGTCCAAAATATGCATCGGGTTTTGAAAACGCTATGAAAAAAGAAATGTAAAAGAAGTATCTCATTAATAATTTTTATAATGATTACATGTTAGATTGATAATTTAGACATAATGAGTTAAGTAAATTACATTATTAAAATTAACTTCATCTGTTTCTTTTTTCCTTTTTTAAAAATATGGCTACTAGGAAATTTTAATTACACACACGGCTCACGTTCTACTAGGGTACTGTCATATTATCTTTTAATTCTGTTTTTCCGTGAACCTTTTAAAGCATGCTCATATCTGTATTGTGCAGCGTTGGTCTAAGTGATCATCTTTATGCTCTTGATGGCGGCTCCCACGTCAGGCTCAGACAGTGGTCTCCCTTCCTGAAAGCATGCTCATATCTGTATTGTGCAGCGTTGGTCTAAGTCATCATCTTTATGCTCTTGATGGCGGCTCCCACGTCAGGCTCAGACAGTGGTCTCCCTTCCTGGGCTTGGGTGCTCTGCTAAGTTTATCAAGGTACTGTACAAGTAATGCTACCTAAGACGGCCGAAGGCATCAGGTGCCAGAGACATGAACTGCAGAAGGCACAGAAGCCTGAAATTCTGTACATGATCCCCCAAACCAGCTCTGTGCAACTGTCAAAGAGACCCTAAGCTTGGTGGGGTGGTCATGGGCACCCTACTCATGGTTGTGCAAGTCACCCTCTCCCGCCCCAGGCCTCCAGGGAACATTGTGTTGTGACCTGTTTGGGTTTTGGTTTGCGTTTCTTTGAAAATCCTAAAACAGGGAGACGATAAAGGCCGTATCTTTTACAAAGAGCTGCCACTTTCTGGCACCAGCCTGGAGATCTCTTTTCTGTATGAAATTACATCAGAGAACCCAGCCCAAATTCCAGCTTGGAAACTGATGCTCACCGTGCCCTCCAACGGCTCTGCCAATTTCTCAGAGTGAATGTCTTGTTTATAAACGTGACCATGCCTCTGCCCTTGTGGGGACATCCCAGCACCAGGGCACTGGGAAGCAGGAGCCCAGGTCCCTGCCCTCTGAGGTGGGGAACCACGGAGTCAAGGCAGGAAAGAGAGGTTGGGGTGTGACAACCTGGGGGGGACCCAAGGAGGGTCAGACGTGCAGTGTGGGCTCCACAGAGAGCTGCGGCCTGCAAGGTAGAGGTGGGGCTTTGCCATCAGCGTGGCGCTTAGGAACAGCTCAGACCCAAGCTTCCCCAGCAAGCATTCCTGGCCCCAGCCCCTCATCTAACTGCTTTGAAAACCTCTTATATTTTCAGCGCATATCCAAGGTGAGCCTCATTTTTTGCTTTCGGCTTCTTTCATACCTTTGAGATCAGCTATGCAAGCACTACGGCTACCATGGTGCCTGTACCTGTGATGGCCAGACTTCTGCCTAAATTTGGTGGTACAGGATGAGTTTTGGCCTGCACAATGATGTCTGCATTTTATTTTAGTTTTTAAAGTTGGGTTGACTGTCAATGTCTGAAAATTGGGTGAGTTTATATGAAATCCAGATTTCTGGATTCTCTTGGAAAGATATGAAGATCGGGCAGCACTGGGCCTGCATCCGCACAAGGCAACCCTGGGTGAGGCAGAATAATGGGACTCCTCTAGCCAAGGCATGGATCTCTGGTTTGCCACAGGCCCCTGGACTCCCCGAAGGTGTGTGAGTTTGCTGTTCTGTATGCGTCCTCTCTCTGAGCCCCCAGTGCGTCCACAGCTGCTTCTTAGCTTGTCCCAGCCCCAGAACCCACCTGTGCTCCCCACCAACCCCAGCTAAGGGCTGCCATAGCCAGCTGGTCCTGCTGTCCTCCCTGCTCACCTTCACCGAGTAGGCCAGCGAGATGGTGACAGCCAGAGGGAGCCCCTCGGGCACGGCGACCACCAGCACTGTCACGCCAATGATGAAGAACTTGACAAAGTACTGCACGTAGACAGGCGTGCATTCGGGCAGCCATGGCTTCTTGTTGACCACGAAGGTGTCCACAGTGAAGTAGAGCACAAGGATGATCACCGTGATGGCTGACATCACCAGGCCTAAAATGCAGGGGACACTGCTCAGAGGGGTCCGGGGCAGAGGGCACTGGGGAGCAAGGTGTGGACTAAACCCTTGGCTTTGACCTCAGGGTCAGGCAGACCCCAGCTCACCTCCCAGCTCTGCCACTTCTTTGTTTTGTGACCTGGGGCAAGTCCTTGATCCTCGCTGAGCCTCAGTCTCCTGCTCTGCACAACAGGGATGCATATTTCCTTTATATAGTTTTGTGAGGCTCAAATGTAATAAATGAAGGCAAAACACCTAGCACGCACCCAACACACAGTAGGCGCTCAAGAAACATGTGCTGAATAAATAAAGAACTGTTTGCATAGAGCTTTCACACGACAATGATGTAAAGTTGGTATACTTTACTTATTCATTCGACAGATACCTTCTGGGAACCCACGACGTGCCAGACATGTAGTCATTCCTAGTCTAGGAACTAGGGACACAGCAGTAAAGAAGATGAGCCCCTGCCCTTGGGGAGCTGACTTCTAGACGGGGAGACAGACAGGAAACAAATCACATGAACCAGGTAAGTTCAGGTGCGGATAAATGCTGTGACATGGGGTGGCCACGTTAACTAGGGTGTCCATGGAAGGCTTCCTGGAGAAGGTGATATTTAAGCAGAAACTGGAACAATGAGGGAAGCAGCCACGTGGTGACCTGGGGGAAGAGCGTTCCAGGTAGATGAAACAGCAGGTGGCCACTTTTTGGATGAGGAAAAAAAGGCTCAGAGAGGGGAAGTGACTTGCCCATGGCCACAGGCCACGGAGATGCTGTAGCTGTCGGAACACCTCTGATTACCTGCCCAGATATGCTGGGGTCCCTCTTGCTAGTGCTGTGTGCCCACACCCCACCTGCTGCAGGTGCCACTGCAGGGGCTGCAGAGACTAGTCACAGCTGCAGCCTCCGCCAGAGAAGGACCATGCTGGAGCAGTTGGAGTCCCCTCGTTACGAATTGCCTGGCAGTGTACCCAACCCCAATCTGACGGCCAATATCCAGTGGCTGACATGGGGTCTCAAAGCCCACGTGCTGCTGGGTGGGACAGGCCCTGCCGTGCGGCTGGTGCTCCAGAGCTTCCATGGGGTCATGCCAGACTAGGAGTTCTCCAGAAATCTCAGCTGCATCTGGCTTCTTCCCTGGCCTTGACCCCTTGCTGGCCTCACCTGGGAGCACCATCTCAATAAGTCCCCTGCCCACCCATCTCAGTTCTGCTTTCAGGGAATTCAGCCCAAGAAAGAGGCGGAGGTGTGACGTGAAAGCAGGAGTGCTTGACTGTGAACTCCATTCTTGGCAGGGCCAACATGGGAGAGGGAGAGGGACTTTGAAGGCCATGAGGTGTTTTCATGGCTTAGTTCTCACCCCCCACACCCCCAGTGCCATGTTCTCATGGAGGCTTCTGCCTGTGACAGCAATGGCAGGGCTGGAGGACATCCCTGGGCCCATCTCTTCCATCCCCACCTCCAGCTGCAGAGCCTCAGAGCTGGGACTATCCCTGTCTGACAGTCGCAGGGGCGGGAAGCCAAGCTCCCAGCAGCCGGGAGCTGTCACTGGGCCCCCAAGTTTAAATATAGACAGCCAAGCCTGTAATTTGCCTCCCTTCCCCAGCCATGGTGTCTATAATTAGAGCTGGGGAGACAGCCATGGAGGAGGGAGCGGCCAGGTGGGGAGGCCTTGGTGTTTGCCACATCCTTACCCAGGAGGGGAGGCCAAGGCCGCGTTAGAGGGTGAAGGCTCATCTTGCAGCTGGGCTTGGCTTCCTGGGCCAGGAACTGTCACTAACCATCACCTGAAGCCACTACCTCAGTTGGGAAGCTGGCTTGTTGTGCTGGGGCTCAGGCAACAGGATTCTCCTTGGGCTCCTGGTGCTGCCCTTAATCTCTTCAATCTTGCCTTTGCAATGAAGCCAGGGTGCTCATTATAAAGCCCAAATCCCTCCCTGCCCTTCCCTGCTCAAACCTCTTCCATGGCTCCCACTTCCTCAGGATAAAGTCCGTGCTGCCTAGAACTGCAGGCCTTGCAGCCACTGCACATGCCAAGTGCTAAGAGCTCTGTATACATAATCTCCTTTAATCCTCACAGCAACCTGTGAAGTAGGGATAACCATTATGTCCATTTTACAGACGAGGAGACAGAGGCTCAGAGCTAGGTGTAGTTATTTGTCCACGTCTTAGCAGCCAGGCTGGACAGAATACAGGTAGTCTGCCCCCAACACCCAGGCTTTTAGCTTCACTCCTCTACCTTGCCAAGTGCTAAGTGAGCATGTATGGTATACAGGATTCAGACTGGTTGCTGTGACAGAGAAGGGCAGGCTTCAGGGGCCATCTCATGAGGCCCAGTTTGGGGCAGGGCGCTGTGGCGTCTCACTGCATGCCCTGTGTTCCCCTCCAGCGCACTCACCTGCCTTGCCGATCTGCACGGCCAGCTTGGTGAGCTTGCCCTGCAGCACAGACTTCTCTTTCTTGTGCGTGTTGGCCTTCTTTTTGTCGTCGGCATCGCCGCCCTCGGCACTCTTGAGGGGCTGCATCTCCATGGCAGCTGCCCCGTCCTGCTGCTTGGCTGCAGGGGCAGAGCACATAGGTGCACATGCAGACACACAGACGCACACGCGGGTCAGCCTGCATGGTGGGGATGCTGGCGCCCACCCCTGCCTGCCCAAAGGAGGTGCTGACTGCCCTGCCTGGGCCTGCAGGGCCAGCACGGAGCCCTGGGACAGGGGCCTGCCTCTCCTAGCTGGAGCCTCTGGATCCCAAGGGCACCTGATGCCTCAGACCTGGAATCCGGGACACAGCAGGGACTGACACGCTTCTACCCTGATTCCCAGCAGGAGTGGGCTGGGGACCCTTCTGGGCCTGAGCAAGCCCCCAGACTATACCCAAAACAGACAAGACAGACAGGCTTGGGCTTTACCAGCTGATCTTTGCAACCATGTTGTTAGGGTGATAAGTTGCCACTAGACAGGAGTGACAAAAAGGGAGGCTTAAAAGGTAAAAGAGGTGGTCCCTGTCCATGCGTGCCAAGTTCCCATCCCCAGCTAGCATGGCCTCTTCAGTGAAGGACTGACTAGAGGGCCTGTGGCTCTTTTGGACAGAGACAGGGCCAAAGTCCCTATCCCTTAACCTCTAAGGATCTCAAAGAACCAGCCTCAGGTCTTCAGTTGAATGGGAAGCAGCGCTCAAAGGCTGGGGAGAAGCTGCCCTATGGGTGCCCCTGCTCTTCACCAGTGACACCTCTTTTCCCTTAACCTCTAAGGATCTCAAAGAACCAGCCTCAGGTCTTCAGTTGAATGGGAAGCAGCTCTCAAAGGCTGGGGAGAAGCTGCCCTATGGGTGCCCCTGCTCTTCACCAGTGACACCTCTTTATTTGGCCTGGCACCTTGGGAATCACAGCTGTACCCCAAAGACGCCAGACACCCAGAGGCGTGGCTGCGCCTGCCTCTGGTCCCAGCCAGTCTCTGCTTCTGGTGTGGCTCTCAGAATTGGTGGGGAGGGGCCGTAGGGACCACAAAAGCCGGTTAATACAAAAGGGTTACCTTTGCTCTGGCTGGCGTCCACATTGCCATCCTGCATTTTACCTACATGACAAAGAGTTTTAACAGACAACAGAGAACAGACAACACACGGTTGGTCATCATGAAGACGCAACAGGCCACGGACATTCACGTCACAGATGGAGGAGGAGCCATGCTGGCTCCGTCCCTCTGTACAGGGACACTGGGGAGGCCCTGAAACCAGGGCGAGCCTGGCCACCCCCTCAGCCGCAGGGGCTGTCAGTCCAAGCAACTTGTGATTCTCCAGGGGGCTCAGGACAGAGTGTTTCTGTTGGGAAGATTTTGGCCCCGAGCACTTTACAGATTAAAGGACAGTATTTGAGGGTACAAAGGACGAGAGTCTGAGGGTAGGAAGCAGAAGGAGGAAAGGTCTCAGACCCCAAAGCATCTCCTGACTGATTTGGTTGATGTGTTTTGTGGGCTGATAGGAGGCAAAGGGGAACCTGTTCAGCGACATCCTTCTGTTTTCCCGTAAACAAAAACATGCAAACACAATCGAGAGTGGGGAGAGAGAGACCAGAACGGAGCGGAGTGTGGACAAGGTACTGAGGTCAATGTGTTCCTTAGTTTCTGGCTCTAGGAGGGATGATTCTACTTTCTTCTCTCTCTGAAGGGGTGTGGACGACCCCCTGCCCACGCTCCTGAGAGTGACCAGGGCAAAGAGTGAGCAGGGGGTACCCAGAGGTGGTCTCTGAGGGGCCCCAAGTGTGTCCTGGGGCTTTGTGGAGGTCCCTTGGTTTCTAAGGGGGGAACCACTGACCCTTGATAGGGGTGTATGCCCTTTGTTCTGTGCCTCAGGCCACAGGAGATGGACTAACTAGGATCAGTGGGCTCCCCTGGGCACCCTCTTTCCATACCAGGGCCTGATACTGCCTAGTGCTGGAGAAAGGGATGGATCAGGGGCTCCTCACCCCTAATCAGGGCTGCCTGGGAGCCCCCTCCCCAGCCTCNAGGGGCCCCAAGTGTGTCCTGGGGCTTTGTGGAGGTCCCTTGGTTTCTAAGGGGGGAACCATTGACCCTTGATAGGGGTGTATGCCCTTTGTTCTGTGTCTCAGGCCATAGGAGATGGACTAACTAGGATCAGTGGGCTCCCCTGGGCACCCCCTTTCCATACCAGGGCCTGATGCTGCCTAGTGCTGGAGAAAGGGATGGATCAGGGGCTCCTTACCCCCTAATCAGGGCTTCCTGGGAGCCCCCTCCCCAGCCTCAGGAGAGGCTCGTGGGCTGGGTTCACAGTGTGGGAGGTACTGGTGGCCACCATCTGTCACCTGAGACACCTGCCTTCACCTGTGCCGTCCCGTCTCGTGGGCCCGTGCTCCCCCGAGTTCTGCTTGCAGGCTGACCACCTCAGGAGGGGTCTGTGATGGGTGATTCTCACGGCTCACGCTCTGGGAGGCCCCACCATGCGTTGGGCACATGCACGGCTTCCATGATCGCACCTAATCTTCACCACAGCCTCACCCACGAAGGGCACTCTTCGATCATACCCATTTACAGATGAGAGAGTGAGGCTCAGAGAGGGAGGTGGACTGCTTGTGCCTCGGGCAGGAAATGGAGAGCTGACCCCAAAGTGCGTGCAAAGTGCCGCGGCTTCTACTGAAGCCACAGTTGGGGAGAACATGGCCACCCCTCAGCCCACGGAGGGGAGGGGAGCTGCGGCGCTGCTGGGACTGGGTTCCTCAAGTCCCCGTTTTGCCACCAGCTAGCTGTGTGGCTTTACCTCTCCAGCCTCAGCTTCCACCTTTGTAAAGTGGGATGAGACATTCACCTCCCAGAGTGCCTCAAAGTTACCCTAATAATCACCACTTGCATGGTTCGGCCTTTTGCAGTTTAAGGGGCTTTTGCAAGGCTCGTCTCT